GGCTCGCCTGCATTTCGCGAGCTTTGAGAAAAAGTCACGGCGGGCATGCGAGGCCCGCCCGCTCTCGAGCCTTCAAAAATACAGGCAATGTATGTGAAGTTTGGTGCTCCTGCATGGGAAGACGTTCAGTTCCTGCTTGGGGCCAGTGTCCATGCAATTCACAGAACAAGCAGCAAGCCAGCAATGACATGTGCAGGTGAGCCGCCCTTTTGACTGTTGCGGTTGGCAAGTGCTGCTTGATTGGATGGAGTTCGACCCTTCCTACAATGAGCTGCTGGACGCAACATATATATATATATATATATATGTATATCTCTCTCTCCATGTCATTACCGTATCATGCTCCAGGTGAGGTCCAGCCAAGAGAGTTCGTCGTTCGCACGCTACGGTGCAGAGGGAGAAGTGAGGAGCTCGAAGGTGGCGGTACCTTCTTCTTGCCGGTCTTCAGGAACCTAAGTTGGACGCGCGACTCTTCAACAAGCCTAAGAATTTAACGCGCAGCAGGAAGAAACGCTGAAAGACTTCGCGACTTTAGCAGGCGAGACGCTCGGTCCAACACGGTCGCAAACATAGCCGTTAGCATCTCTGTGTCGACCTTGACAACCGACGAGTGAAGGGGGACACTGCGGGTCACTGGGGAAGACAGTGAATGTTCGCTCCGGAACACGGTTTAAGAGGCAAAGCGGGATCGTTGCCGAGGCCTGGACGCAGAGATCTACCTTCCCGCCAACCCCAAGTGAGGGCATGCCATTCACCTGCGCTTGAGGTCCAGCAGGCTAAAAAGGATCTCCGCTCCTGATCCGGACCCATCCACGGCCACGGCGGGACGGCGCACCTCGCAGAGCCAGGGCCGAAGCTGCTCCTCAGCCCGAGCGTATTGGCGACAGAGCCCGCGACCACGTCACGGTGAGGAGAGGGTCGCAGGCTTGGGCTGTGCAGGTTTCCGTTTGGTTCGACACTATGTAGTGCAGGATTGTTTGGGTGTCCAACTCCCTCAAGATTTCATGTTTCGCTTTGGGCTAACACCCCCTAGATTGGAGGGTCCTGCGCCCCAGTGCGTCATGCGGACACGCAGAAAGACTGGCACAGCTCGCGTTGTTTTTTTGAGTGCGATAAAGTGTCTGACTGTCTTTTGGCTAATGATCCTAATCCACTCTGGACTGCCAGCTGCGTCGGTCCAGTCCAGGATCCGGAGACAGAAGCTGTCGCATGCCGGCGCCAGGCAGCAAAGCTTGGGAAACATAGCCCAGAGTAGGCAGTTGGGGGACAGACTCGTTGCATCTCGTTGCTGGCTTCGGCATTCGAGTGTGCAGGCACAACAACTTTGTGCCCATGCGTAAGGTGCCGGCTGTAGAACCTATTCAGTCTGGAGGAGTACGCCGACAGAGTCTCTGCGCTGAAGCAGCTCACCGAGCATCGTTAATGGCGGCGACACGCAGGCTGCACAAGCTCCACCCAACACAGCTGACTATCAGCCCAGGCCCTGTGACGATGCACGTCGGCAAAAGCAAATCCACATCAGCTGAGTGGGCGAAGGGTTTTCCACCGTGGGCTGGGTGGGAGGGCGGGACCCTTACAGTAAGTGAGAAACTCAACCAAAAACGTATCATAAGATGTCNNCCCCCCCCCCCCCCCCGCGCTTTCCGTCGTTTCTTGAGTCTTGAGAATGAAGTGGTATGAAATGGTAGCTTGAAACTACACAGTGTTGGAAAGTCCTTCGACGTCATTGCATAGTCATCAACCAACCGTTCAGTCACGAGCAGCTGAGCGGCATCCAGCAGCACGTCAAAGCCAAACAGCCTCGCAGCTGAGGACTGCTGAGAAACAAAGCCGCATGCCGGAGGAGAAGTCTCCCATCAGATGTCGGCCCAGTGACTCGAAGCACTGGCCACGGGCCTCCGGCTTCAGCTGTGCCGTGGCATGCACGATCGACGGCCTTCTCTGCGGCACGCCCACTCCACGACTTCAAGCTAGGACTGCCCGAGGTGCCTTGCAGCAACTAGAACTTCCCAGGCCAGTGCACGGATGCGATGCCAGACTTCCTCGAGACAGCTCCCTCAAATACTCTAGACTCTAAGCGTTACGCACAGCAGCATATGGTGGGAAAGCAAAGAGTTTGCAGAAGGAAATGAGCAAGCCGCGAGTCCGAGGAATCTGGCATCCACGGCTCTGGGTGGGCACCTTCCAAAGACATGGTCGTGGCAGCGAGATCCGAACGAACTCGTGCTGCATTATGCTTGTCCAAGCGTCGAAGCCAGGCGAAAAGGTCCGACATCCGCCAATTTCCAAGACATGGCCCATGTGCATTTCTCCTTTGTGGAGGATGCAGGAAAGCAGAAGGACAGAAGACGAATTCGCGCAAGCATAGACGGACATGCCAGCTCAGTCCAGGCACGCATTCACCTGCACAGTCATGCAGGGCAAGTGCGCAGCCGAAATATGCTTTGACGAACCTATCTGGCATCACACCCTGAATTCTGCAAGTGTCACAGCCAGATCCACCACCATCCCCAAGTCAAGAACTTGAACTGGGGTCCCGTGCCTCGTTGTTGGTAAGGTGAATGCAGGAATTGCCAAGGGATTCGCAAGACATGGCAAATGGCTCGCTGGCAAACCGAACAAGACCCTCAGAGAAGATGTATGCCTCAGATCAGCTACATGTCCAGAAGATTTGACAGTGAGACGCTTGCGGCATGTCGCTGTGAGATCGCCAGCCGCTCTGTCAGCCGCTTGGCAGTCCTCGCCGGCGCTTGGTGCTGACAGCGATTGATTTGTCGCTTCGAGTGTTGCCAAATCGCCTCGTGAGCCGCAATCCTCCCGAACGATGTCACAAGCCTCAGCAAGCATCAAGATTGTTCTGCAGGGAAAATTTGCTCCTGGATATCATCTCCCATCTAAGCAATGGTCTCGGTGAACTTCTCGATTGGATTTTTACTTCTTGCGAATGGCAGTGAAGCAAAAAAGATTCCTGGCCTTTGTTGCGTAAACACAATAAAAAGTCTTGAACAACCGTAGGAATAACTAGCGCTGCCCTCAGTTCCGAAGACAACGGGTATGTGCCTCTGTGCCCCTGTCAGCACGTACACACACAAACATTCCGAACAGCACACCTAACGATGATGATAAACATGAGCCATAAAAGTAGCGCAAGTGGTCGTAGCTACGTGCCACTGATGCTGATGTCGATAACAATGAATGACAACGACAATGACCTTAACAGCAACAAACACACGATACAGTAGTACTCGGTTCCCGTATTCCAGTACCCATCATCCTGCTCACGGCGAGATTGCGGATAATGATCAGGATCAAAATTGCAGAGGTGATCAGGACTGCACGAGCACACAAGCAAACAGAGAAGTGCGTCTTTGCGCTCGCAAACAGACACCCCACCCACCCACCACCGGCGCAAACACACACACACACACAGTGACAAAGACACATGTGCTCGAACAGACGCGGATGCCATCATATGCCTGTGGGCACCTGCGGTCGAGAAGCACATACAGTCGCAGGTCGCACTTCTTCCCATTTATCAGCAAGGGCTTTTCGACCTGATGGATGCACCGGAGATTCTGCGGAAGGCCGCGCATTCGAGCTGGACCAGACTCTGAGCATGCGGCGTACTGGCTGACCACCACAGGTGTTTTGGCCGAACTTGAACTCTTAACAATGGCAATTGCCTGCTGAATGTCGGCTGCACTTTCACAGCTGAGAACCTCAAGTCTCCAGCGCAGGGCAGGGGACTGTTTGCTGGCACCCTGTACTACTTTGTATATACACCTTGGATCCACGCTTGAACTCCTCGGCCTCCTCCTCCTCGCCCGGGCTTCATAATCCAGTGTCTGCCGAATACACCGGCATCTGAGCAAAGTCAACAGCGGTGTGGGCGCCAGTCTAGCAACAACCACCAAAGCCTTAAAATATTAAATGCATCACCACAAGATGGCGAGAGCCATTTCAACTGGCGAATCCAACATGAGCGAGCCATCTCTCTTCCTGGCTGCACCATCACACTCACTACTGCAATCCTACTGGAAAACTTCGGGTGCAGGACGGCAGCTTCTCGTCATGGCCGTGGATACATTGGCATGTGCTCGGCCCGCGTCAGTCAGAAGAGAACTCGTTGTCGGGAGACCCTTGCATAAATTCCCGCATGGCAACAGTTGCATATTGTCCCGGGCGCAAGGCCAGCTCAACAATCACTCCTGTCCTGACATCTGCAGTGGTGATTGCGTCGCGGCTTAGCTCGAACATGCCATGGGGTTCCAGTGAACGTCCCTTGATGTGGTCCAGAGCTGATACAACCAGTCGGCGACAAGGTTCTACGTAAACCATAGTTCGAGCACGGCAAGAAAGCGGCTTCACCACAGCATGCCGATACGTGCCTTCGAGGTATGACTGTTCTGCTTCTGAAGAAGCAGAGTGGGGAAAGTCGTTGCCCTGCAGCACCTGTTCATAAAGCCTTCTGGTTGGAGGATGAGCGGGATAGTTGCATCGATCGCCCGGGACAGGTAAAACGATGTCAGAGAAAGGAATGTCACGCTGCTCCCCAGGGCGAACAACTCGGACTTCCGGCAAGCTGACGTCAGGTCGCATCCCCTTGGCTCTATGCGTTACCACATTATGTAAGCCTACTTCCCGGCTCGCCAGGACAAGATCTCCTGCAAACACCTCTTGGCCGAACGCTGCCAGTCGAGCTGAAACCACCTTGCAGGCATCTGTCTCTGAGACTACTTCTGCTGCTTGAATTGAGTTGACGCCCTTTAGAATCTTAGAACAACTGCGGTAGAAAGAACAAGTCCCAGAAGCCTGGTTCCAAAGCAAAGAAGCAAAGGAGCGCACGAACAGCAAGCGCTGGCGGCGAGGTAGAGAGCCCAGCGCCCCGCTGTAGTCTGCCGGGCTAATACAGAGATGCTGAAGAATTCGCCGCTCGACAGCACAGCGGGCAGGAGTCTCGGCCAAAGCTCTCCTGAACTCACCTCGCGCAAACAACTCCTCGATTTCGCGGTTCCGACGAGCACGCATTGAGCAGACCAGCAGTTCGCAGGCCATCTCGTGATGGCCAGATGCTATGGCCCTTCCGATTGCTGGGCTGCAAGCGGACGGCCCGAAGCGCTGGCGACCGAAGTAATTCACAAAGCCCAGAGTGCGAAGACTTCGGGAAGCCTCCTCAACCAATGCTCCGAATTTGTCTTTGCGGGCACGGCCCTGTGCGGACTGAGCGTCTCGCACAACGATGCAGAAATCATTTCCAAGCATCCACCCCATGCGGCAATGGACATCCTGCCTCTCCAAGCGACTGATGTGCACCGCAGGGTCCCACGTGGACAAGGACATGCAGGACGCCAGCCGCTTCTCATCTAACAGTGCCCAAGGCACACCGATGTGTTGGTACGTAACAGCTCTCCGGTCCTTCAGGCCATGGAAGCTTACCTTCCGCGCATCGATTTGCAAGTGCCTAGCCAGCATGGCCACTGCATCGGCTACATCCCTGTTCTCCTTCGCGAGGACTAGGCGCGCATGCCGCCCGCTGGCAGCTTGAAGCGCTTTGAAGTCTGAAGACATGCTACCTTCTCTGCTCGACTCAACGATCTCACCCTCGTGTGAGATCTCCTTCACCACGAAATCCTCATAACGTGCTTTGATGTTGCCAGAAATCGCCTCATGACCTCCGAGAAATGCCGTAATCGCAACTGGGTTCTGCGATGGCTTCATTGCAAAGCCACGCTGCAATATACGACCAGAGTCGCAAAGCGGGCATGGCACAGTGCGAAACATTATGGGGCATCTTCCCTTGTACCAACCCGCCTTTGACATCAATGCGCAGGTTGCTTGGCCCTTGAGGCTTAAGAAGTTCTGGCTCCCAGAGGGATTCAACAGCTATCCGAGGAACATCCACTGCATGTGAGGCAAACATTACGCAACTAAAACCGTGGACCCGCGCGCATCAGGGTCTATGTCAGCGGCGGTCCCGGCCTCCGGGCCTCATGTCTTGCAAGCTGTGATGCCAAAGAGCCTCTTCTTGTGGTAATACGAAACTTCGCGGCAAATACCTGCCAAAGTCAGGAGGAAAAGCTTCACGCTCCGTGCACGACGCCATGCCTGCTCCGACATCTAGTCAAAGTCTCACATAGCCGATGCTTGTGTGTGAGCTCGACAGATCCTTCGTTTCTGCTAACTCGGGTGGCAAATCTACCCGGAACTAGAGCACCTGCTTCTATCTGGACAACGCACCTACTACAGAGGCTAAAACTTCCGTCGCTGGAGATGCCGGAGTTCTGACTGCATCCTTACACAAACAGCACACCCTCCTAGAATGTGTCAAAGTTCAATCAAGTCTCGAGGAAAATGGTTGATCAGGCAGTGTCCTGCAGTGGATGTCGTGCAACAAGGAGCAAACACTGCAGTTCTTGACTCCCTGCGGCCTGCTGTCGTCCAAAGCTTTGGCTCAAAGCAGTTTGCCCAAATAAGGCGGGAGCCTGTGCAAACGTCCCCAGCGTTGTTTTTTTTTACAGGATTCCAAAACGGTCCTTGTATTGATTGGGATTTTGGTTTTACGGCATTCTTGTTCGATGTCAGGTCCGGCGCAGGAGCAGGCTCTGAGGATTTGCTAACCTTGCCCGGAGACCACCAGAATCACAGCCGAAATGCTTACCACCGAGTATTGGCGGGAGTCAGGATGCTGGCAGGATTCACGACAACAACAAACACAAACAACAACGACGACAACAACAACAACAATCATGATCAAGCTCCACCC